ACCTAGCATCGCTATGAGCTATATTGTAACCACATTCACAGTGTGTTAGAGCCTGCCTCGGGGTTCCTTCGCAGCAGGTTTCAGCTGGAATGATTCTTTTTGTTTTTTATAATAATCACTCAATTCAAATGGAACAATCCGTATAAAAAAATTATCACAAGCCATCTTGGATAGAAAAATCTTGCCACAATAAACATGCTGAATGTTTTACAATAAGACATCAAAAATGGTGATCGAGGCTGGAAAACTGCTTAGAGCCACACTTAGGATTATGCCTGTTACAGTATTGCTTGACATTTGGTAGTGAAAGAGCATCAATTCCCAGTCATGACAGCTGAGGCAGGGACTTAGTCATAGTTGTCTTCAAAGCAGGCACTGTGAACTGCCCTCCCCCTTCAGGGACAGTCTGTGTGCCTGCCGGGGACCCCCAGACATAGCCCCCAACCCCATGGGCTGGCACACAGCAGCTGCAGTGCTGGACATGCAGACCCTGCACACCCTGCCCAGGCACTCGCTGTGCCCCAGGCTGCCTGGTCCATCTCAGGAGGAAGCTGAGCATGGGTGTTTTGGAGGAGGATCAAGCAGAGAAATGTGGGACACACCGGTGAGCGACAGCAGCTTCTGGCAAGGCTGCACCCACTCTATCTCTTGGTGCTGGGTGGTGGCAGCTGAATGCCTTTTGTGATAACTCAATTAGCTGTGAAAAAAGCACAACAGCATTAGGATATTATACTGATTATTGCTTACCTCTCAAAGGAGTTTGTCATTTTCCATCACCTCTGGGTGGAACACATTACCCCCCTCTTCTTCACTCTGACCCCATTCTTCTGCAGATCTTCACCTGCCCACCTTCTCAACTGGCATGGCAGTGTGCCTACCTTGCTCTTTTTCATATTTGTCTTTTTTTGAGTCAGGAAATGCTACAAGGGAACTTTAATGCCTTGGAACAATCTTTGTGTCAAACAAATCAGTGTGTGTGCGCCAAGAACTGAGCAGTGCCCTCAGAACCTGGTGTGTTAATGGATAAATGGAGAAAAGGGAGGCTGCAGATAGCCACATTTCCCAATAAGTTTGGGGAGCTGACAAGGAGAGCAGAGAGAGGTTTCACACTCCTTTAGAGACAGTTAGGTGTAGTCCTGCAGGACACACAGATCTTGGTTTCTTTCCTCCTAATTGACTGAATTTTTCCCTAGTGTCCTGCCGGGAGTGCTCAAAGCCTTGTGAGGGGGACTGGGTCTCAAGGTGCCTTGGAGTCCCTGCTGCAGCGGCTGCTGTGTGTTCTGCAGAGGGTGTGACTGAGCTGTGTGTTAGAATACTAGCTGTGACTCATTTGGCTGTATACTAGAAACCTCTGTATGTGTGTTTCTGGCCACTTCCTAATTTATAGATTTTTCCTGTGTCCAATGTTTGGCAGACTTATAAAAAATTGGGCTCTTGCTGAAAAACATATGGCTGGTGTGTGGGGTTCTCACTGGGCTGCAAGGCAGGAGGGTGTGCAGGGGAGAGGCATTGTGTTCTCACCTTGTAGCTTTTGGGATGGAGTGGGAGCCTCTGCCTCCATGCCTCACACATCCTGGCTGGGGAACTTCCGTGACCCTTCCAGGACCAGTATGGGCTAAAAGGAAAGGCAACCAGGGCCAGGACAGGATATAGGAAGTATGCAGTGGTGTTTATGAAGTCAGAATATATGCCTGAATGTATATAAAGAGACAGCACTTGGATACCACAGTGAGAAAAGGAAGTAGGAACTACTCAGCAAAGTTGAATACATGTTATTTATGCCAAGAAGTGAGTCTTTGATAATCTTCAGCATCTGTTCAGCATCTTTGATACAAGCCTGGTCCTCAGATGTGATTCAACCCTCCTTTGTGCAAGGTGTACCCCAGTGGTGTTGTCCTGAGCAAGGAGAGGAGCTTTGTCAGTCACCCTCTGCTTCTGGAGAAGCTGAAAATGGCACATCTTTGCTTTAGTGACCACTTTCTGTCCTCTTGCTAAGCTTTACCATGGAGCTGATAGTCGTCCAAAGCGTTGTGTAAGAAGCACAGGGTCTCTTTCATCGCAGCAGTGTTTTTTCCATTGCTACTTGTTCTTGGTTTCTCTAGAGCTGCTGTAAATACCTCTGCAAACAGGTTTTGCCAAGTGTATTTCTTAATGAAATAGTGTCTGATACCAGATTATTCTTCAAAGGTTAGTGGTGGACTGCACCAATGTGTGAACTTTGTGCCTGCATTTGACAGCCAATTGATTTAAATATTAATCACCTGGTGCCTGAAGTCCAAGTGAGGCCCTTTTAGGTGTAGCAGGATCCTGTGTTGTGCTTGCAGGGCAGCCTCGTAGCCATGTCTGGACTCCAGGCTCCACTTTGGATGTTTCTATCAAAATAAAGGTATGGCTGCCAACAGGAATGGCTTTATTCCTGCTCTTTGTATTAGAGACATCTGAGCATTATGGGATCCCTCAGTCCTGGCATCTTCGGTGTTCCCATATCAGGCACGAGTTGTGTTTCTGCTGATGCAGTGTCTTCTGAGTTGTCTCCTGGTGTAGACTGCTGTGTGTTTCACGGGAAAGCAGATAAATGATACCAAGTCATTGAGCTTGTAAGTAGCGTGCTGGCAACCTGCCACCAAAATATAAATACATTAAATGTACTGAAGGAATGTTCATTCTGTTGTTTAGCCTTGGATATGCCCCAGTTAGGTAAATTTAATCTTCTTGAGGGTTGTTACGTTGCAGCTGAATGAGATAGGCCATTATCTTAATCCTGATCTTTCTGTCATTCAGGATTCGTGTTCTAGCATTCATGGTGTGAAGTGTGCTTGCCGCAGAGCGGTCCTAGAATTGTTTTCCAAAGGAGATGAAGGTGCATAGGGGATCTGTGAGCACCTTGCAAGTTTTGACCCTCTATCTTAGAAATGTTCATGCTCATTGTCAGTGACACCACTACTGGTCCAACCTCCTGTTGATAGAAATGTACAAAACGGTGGCTGTGCCTATGTTAGGAAATGTCAGTAACTCAATCTCACAACATTTATTTTCTTCCTGGGTATTTCTTCTGCAGCTCCTTCCAAAACCCCTGTCTGTGCCTCTGCTGCTGTTGAGATTGGGAGCAAAGCTGTTGATGACCCCAGGGTGAGCAGGGGCCAGTGTTAAGCAACAGACCCAAAGCCGATGGATTGCATTAAAGATGAGCCTCTTCATTGTTTTCCACTGGTAATGGGTCAGACCCTCCAAATGTGATCCTACAGCATTAATGCTTGTGACTAATCCCACTGAAACCTAGGGAGCTGCTCCCATGTGTAAGCACTGCCAAATCCAATGTGCAGTGTCAATAAGCACTCTGCAACAGTTTAGCTCTTCTCTTGGTTGTACAACGAAAGGAAGGCATGAGGCAGGAAAACAGAAGGAGAGGGAACACATGAGCAGAGAAATTCTGAGCTGGTTGTGAAGAACAGAGATGTTCCATACAGAATGCAAGTACTTAAAAAAATAAGACATCAGCTGTGTGTTCTACAGATAAGAAAATATTATTTTATTGAATGGAGATATATATGTTTTACCTATTACATCTGAACTAATCAGTGTAGGCTTTTAGAAGAAATCTGTAATTAGCCTGAGCACATCATTAGTTAGATGCAAAATGAATGATATTGCTCCATTTTATTACCTCTAGTGATAAAGCCATTTGGATCATAAATTCATTGACCTCATCTTAAATGATCAATTCTGTAAGACAGACTTGATTCATTAATTCTTAAGTGACATTTTTTTCTCCTCCACTAATTTCCTCGTTGTTCTAGAGACTATTTTTCTGCCTTTTAGTATGGTATTGAGAGGTGTCAAACCTACATATTACCTGCATATGAGTCCCACAGTTTTATACCTTTTATCTTAACTAAGCAGCACAGACTGATTGCTTATGTACATAAAAAGAATTGAGAGAAAAAAAAAATTATGAAATACATGAATGTAGAAGATGGGCATTTTTCGCTGATATTGTAGCTTCAGCACTGAGACATTGTATGAAATCAATGAGATAATTATTGAATATTTGGTCTTTGCAGGGTATTCAGAGGAATAGGTTTGCTGCCTTTAATTTCTCTGGCTTTAATGAATTTCATCTAGTGATAAAATATACAGAAGGGTCTGTGATCAATATGTGAGTGAGGCAGAGTTTCTTGTTCCTCAGCAAATTATTGAAAATTGGAGAAATCAGTAGAGAATTTGCAAGCAGGATTTCTAAATATTTTACCAAGGAATAGAAAATATTTGTTTAGCCAGGAGAGACACAGGAGCCCACTGGAGATAAACAAATCAATACAACAATAATACAGTGTAGCATTTTAGTGAATTTTTCAAATGCTGACTAATAAAATTAAATTATTGGAAAAGATGCCACAATTTTTTGTAGGGCCGTATTTCTCTTTCAGTCCCTTTAATTAAGATCATGGACGGGGCTCTTCCTAGAAAGATAAGGAGGCTGGGTTTACTCTCTCATATTTCTCAGGCACTTCTTTGGCAGTGGGTTTATGAGGTGGTTTACTTTCTTGTCCCAAAGGAAGGGCAAGTCTTCACTGCAGCTGCACCTGAAGTCCTGCTCCATCTCTTTCTGCAGACACCTCTGAGGCCACTCTCCTCCTAATCTTTCCACTGCAAATAGATGGTGATGGGCCAGGGTGGGCTTCATCCTACCCCAGCCTGCCTCAGGAGCTGTCTGGGAGCTCCTAGTATCTCTTTGTACAGCTCCTGGGGTACCTGTGGAGACCCTCTGCATTTTTGCCAGCCCTTAGGGCAAGAGCATAATCTGCAAGCAGAAGGAAGGGTGTGGTGGAGTACCTCCTGATTCCATATATGCTGAATAGATAGCATTTTGTGGCTACAGCAGTGAGCTCTCACTCAGAAATGACTTTAAGTTAGATTCAGCAGCACCACTGAGTTAAATAGTATCCTATTACCTCATAGTGTAGACTCACAAATTCCTCTTTTGTCTCCTTTGAAAACAGTGTCAAGCCAGAAAATTTCAGGAGGTTGATTATAGGATGGTTCCATCATGTGTGCTGACGTGCCAGGTGGGTGGCAAAACCCCACACCCATGCCAAATATGCTGGATGGTTCGGTACCACTGCTGTGTGTTTGCAGTATTTGCAGCACAAGCTCCAGGGCTGTCTGTGATGGCCACTGAGCCTTCCTGTGGGGAGCAGATGGAGAGCTGATACCTGATAAAATCCAGGAGCTATTGGAAGTGGGATTGTCCCCTCTGCCCTGTTTGCTGCACTCCTGCTGTCCCATCTGCCCCACGCTTGGAGGGAATGCATGTGCCATGGCAGTGCAGGCATTTATCTCAACTGTTCTGTACATTTGACAGCCTTTTTGTCCACATATTTTAGGGTGTGACACCATCACTGTGTGTTCAATGCTGGGCTGGACTTGTTTGCACTGGGAAATTTCCTTTCTTGCCATGGGGCACCATGCTGGAAATACAGCCTTGCTGATGCCACATGTGCCGAGCAGCACCAGCAGCCCCTCTGCACCAGCAGCTCCTCTGCTTTATCTCATGAGGCACAGCGTGTGTATGCACAAGCTAAAAATCTGGGTCCTGCATTCACAAATTTCAGGGCTGACTTAGGGGTTGCTGCTTCTCAACTGATTATTTAGCTTGATTTAAATGCTGGGATAAAAGAGAGGGAGCGTGTGCACATATGTGTGTGAATGGGGAGGAAAGGAAACAACCAGCGACCTGACAGGACAGCCAAAATGTCAAGGAGTTAAATGGGCTAATAGCCATAGCATATAGTGTGTGTGTGTCTATATACATTAAATATATATTACTGAAAACTCAAGAATGTTACCACTGTTTATATTAAAGGAAAACTGAGAGTTAAATGAGATGGGTAATCAGATGCCCAGCATATGTTGTTTTGAATTGTTTATATGGCCAATAGTTATTAAAATTAATTATCCTTTTAATGCAGTCTTTTCACAATCATAGTCTTCTTTGGGGTTTTTAGTGTATTTTTTTCCTTTGTACAAAAGTTAGAGTCATTTCAAAACAAGCTAACATGGGCTATTTGGAAAAGGCAGAGCAAACAATACCAGGATATATTATGACATGGTCATAGGCTCAACATGCTGATAGAAAGCACCAAAAATCTCTGTCAGTGGAGTATTTTGAGAACTAATGTAAATGACAAAAATGGGGGGGTTTGTGTGTGTAAAATTCTGTCAAAAAAGTGAGGCACTGAAAAATCTGACATCTGTTTATCTGTTTATAGCTATGGCAAGATTACTCATATTAATTCTTGTTTAAAATGCCATATGAAGGAAAGGCATTTGTGCAAACAAGAGTCGTATTTGAATTGTAGATCATGTCTTCACCATCTGTGAGAGCTGTTGGTGTTGCAAAATTAATGTGTTAATGAAATCACAATAATTTCTCTGAAGTAATGGATTCTGAAGCCTAGAATGACTATTTTTTGAACTTTGGTGTCTAGTGGTTTACAACTGGGAAAACCTTTCACAGCTTAATTAGTTCTGCAGCCTTATTTTTAAAAAAAATTGGCTGTGCCTTTACCACACCAATAGCAACACAAAAAAGGATTAAATGGAAAGCAGAGAAACAAAACAAAATTGAGCCTGCAATGCAAACTTTTTGCCGTAGTATTTGAAAAGTTGCTAAACGGGTCCTTGCTTGCCAAGAAGTCTTACTCAAAGTTACTTGTACACAAAAGTGGGCAAACAGCTCAGAAAATAATTCCAGCTTGCTGAAACATCACAAACTAGGACTATTCGAACCTTACACAAATATCCTGACTTTTTCCAAGATTCTCCTTGGAATGAAGGACAAAGAATCAATGATGCTTTTTGCTTTGTGATGCCATTTTGAAATATCACACTTTTTCCAACTTAATATTTGATACCTTTAGTAGAATACTAAATGTTACTATGTGCTGCAGTTTAGCAGAAAATGGTTTGTGTTCATTTCCAGCAATTTTCTGAGTCCTTTTCCAGTTCTCACACTCCTTGTGTAGTATGGCATCTCAGATGGAACAGGCGTGCTTAGATTACCACCAAAGAGTAATCACAGCCACACTCATATGGACTTTGCATACTTATATATGCGTGTTATAACAGTTTATGCCAGCCGAGGATTCCTCTCTGTGCTTTGGGTTTCAGACATATAAGGCATCATATAAGGTAGAACTGAGATCGTGGGAGCCAGAAAAGGGAGTGGCGTTCAATTCATTAATATGTTGGAGGAAAAAAAAGGTGCAGTTTTCACAAATGTAACTTCTTTTTTTCCTGTTAGAAAAATAATATATTTAGCAACTGAAAAATTACTTTTAAAATAACTCTATGAAGAGAAGATTGCTTTTCTTACCTGATTTGATTTTATTACTGTGTTGTAGGTATGTGACTGGTGTAAGCACATAAGACACACAAAAGAGTATCTGGATTTTGGGGACGGGGAAAGAAGGCTTCAGTTCTGCAGTGCAAAATGTCTCAATCAGTACAAAATGGACATATTCTACAAAGAGACACAGGCCAATCTTCCAGCTGGACTGTGCAGTACATTACATCCTCCAGTCGAAAATAAAGCAGAAGGCACTGGGGTGCAGCTGCTGACTCCAGATTCTTGGAATATACCGCTAGCAGATGCTCGGAGAAAAGCCCCATCCCCAGCGTCTGCAGCTGGCCAAATTCAAGGCCCTGGACCATCAGCGTCTACCACTGCCTCTCCGTCTGACACTGCCAACTGCTCTGTCACTAAAATCCCCACGCCAGTTCCCAAACCTATTCCCATCAGTGAGAATCCAAATATTCCACCAGTTTCTGTCCAGCCACCTGCTAGCATTGTGCCTCCAATTGGTGTCCCTCCTCGCAGTCCTCCCATGGTGATGACAAACCGTGGGCCAGTTCCTCTGCCCATATTCATGGAACAGCAAATTATGCAGCAAATCCGTCCACCATTTATTCGTGGGCCACCTCACCATGCCTCAAATCCTAACAGCCCTCTGTCCAATCCAATGATTCCTGGAATTGGTCCCCCACCAGGTGGTCCCAGAAATATGGGTCCCACCTCCAGCCCCATGCACAGGCCAATGCTTTCCCCCCATATCCATCCCCCCACAACACCTACCATGCCTGGGAATCCTCCTGGCTTGCTGCCGCCTCCCCCTCCCGGAGCTCCTTTGCCCAGCCTTCCCTTCCCCCCTGTCAGCATGATGCCAAATGGTCCTATGCCTATGCCACAGATGATGAACTTTGGATTGCCATCCCTTGCCCCACTGGTGCCACCCCCAACTCTACTAGTGCCATATCCCGTCATTGTCCCTTTGCCCGTTCCCATCCCCATTCCAATCCCCATCCCTCACATCAACGACTCCAAACCCCCCAATGGCTTTTCCAGCAATGGCGAAAGCTTCATTCCGAGTACCTCCAGCGAGACGCCTGGGGCAAAGCCAACCAATAGCTCTTCATCCCCTCGAGAGTCAAAGCAAGGATCATCCAAATCCTCTGACTCATCGCCGAGCTGCTCAGGCCAGTCCCTTAATCAAGCGAAAGTGCTTCAGGAGCACAGTAAAAATGAAGTTGTTGATTTGACTGTCAGACCTAGTAGTCCAGCGAACAGTAAATTTGGGTTCCCCAGTGTGCTACAGGGTCCACAGGACGGTGTGATAGACCTAACAGTAGGCCACCGGTCTAGGCTGCACAATGTCATCCACAGGGCTCTACATGCCCAAGTGAAAGTTGAACGTGAACCTAACAGTGTTGTAAATTTGGCTTTTGGTAGCTCAGACAAAAGGAACTGCAGTGACTGCAGGGACAACTGCAGCCCAGTTGACTCAAAAACGTTACCGTGCAGTGACGGAGCTCACTGCTGTCCCGTCTCCTTGGCCTCTGGCACGCCAGGACTGGAAGCTGGCGCAGCGGTGTGCAACGTCATTGTGAATGGCACAAAGAGCACAGAGGGTTCCAAGAACCCGGAGCCGCCCCAGGAGCCGAAAAAGCCCCAGTCCCCGGAGGAGCTGGCGGTGAGCGAGCTGGAATCCGTTAAGGAGAACAACTGTGCGTCGAACTGCCACCTTGAGGGAGATGCTGGCAAGAAGACTGGGGAGGAGCCCCTGGCTGGGGGAGACAAGCAGGACCCGAACCTTAACAATCCAGCAGACGAGGACCATGCGTATGCTTTGAGGATGCTGCCCAAGACAGGTTGCGTGATCCAGCCTGTGCCAAAACCAGCAGAAAAGACTGCTATTGCGCCGTGCATTATCTCAACGCCAATACTCAGCACAGGGCCAGAGGATCTGGAGCCACCATTGAAAAGGAGGTGTCTCCGAATTCGAAATCAAAATAAGTAAAGGTTTGTGTAATCACTACTGCCTTCTGTGTGAATAGAATTCAGTATTTTCAGGTATGAGGTCAACCTCATGTGGATGTGGCCTTTATGAAACAGAAAGATACAAATTCCAATTTATGAGCACTTTCAAAAAACTATTGTTATTTGTGTTATGATATTGTTTTTTGTGCATCTGTACTTGTCAGTACTTCATTCATCAGCAGCCTCATTACACTTTTGCTCACAGAACATCTCATGATGGTTCTGGCTGTGAAGTTACTGTGCTGTGTATGTCAAAGTCAGTGGTTTTCTGCCTAGAATATGGTACAGGTCTGGGCCGTTAATCTGCTTACTTATTCCAGCTAAGTTACACAGCAACTCAAGTGCTCCTAGTGACTGAAATTGCCCTGCAGCATAGCATGGTGCTGGATGACGCAGCAGCTTCCTGCTAGTTCAGATCCAATGGACTTAGCAACTGGCCACCTCCAACCATCTTACTTTGGTCTGCCCCCAGACTGCACCCTGGCTTTCCACTGAACTGTTCTCTGGAGACTGAACTCCTCCCCATGAGCTTTCCTTTCTGGTGTATTGGTGCTTAGGGACTGCTGGCTATTTGGGAACTGCCCACTATAGCTTATTGCAGCAAAACCTCTGCCATGGAGCTTTACTGCCTTACCTGAGGTATCTGCCTTTGGTGCAAGTCTCCCACCTTAGAAAAGCAGCTGAGATTTTCCCCAGCCTTGTGCTTGGTATATGTCTGTGGCTCCTGGTAGGGCTGCAAACCAAGGCGGAGATATGGATAACTTGACCAACCCCCGTGGCTTGTCCAAGGACAGTACTCCAGATGCAGAAACCTCTCATCCTTCTTTACCAATTTCCACCCTACTGAATCCCTCTGATAGTTCAGCATCTTCATAAAATTCTTAGTTTACTATATGTCTAATGCTTCAAACCCGTGTGCAAGAAACTCTCTAACAAATCTTCCCTGTCTGACCATGCAAGAACAGCTCTGGCAGTCACTCTGTACCACCTGAGTTGGGACAGAAGCCCTCCACAGCTACACACCCCACACTCACACAATCAGACCAGGTTTCCTCTTTTCTGTAGCAGAACTTTTAGATATCCCTATCATTAAAATAATTGCATCATGGTGCAATAAATAAATTACAAAATAGCAGCTCAAGCTGATGCCTTTGAGTAGGGATCCAGAACAAAGGAAACCTTGGGCTTTTTTACCTTTTATACCCTCACAGTCTAAGCAAGGAAAGTCTGGGGATTATTGGGAGTGTCTGGTCACCCTGTGTCCTTTGTTATGGAAAGGATCAGTGCCCATTCCCATCCTCTTGCTTGGTGCTCAGGCTTGGGCTCCTGTCCCCCCCTGGAGCTCAACCTGCAGCTGGCACTGCAGCTGCATACTGTGCTACCTGCACTGAATATATTCCTTAACAAAACTAATGTAATGGGATTTATTTAGATTCACAAGCATGGAGAGCTTCTTTCAGGAAAAGGGGAAATGGTGGGTGTTGCAAGAAATCTGTTCAGCAGTAAAATACTGATGCATTGCCGGATGTGGCTTGGTGACATGCCAGATTTCATTACAATCCGTGGAATATTCTGTAGCCTCCAGTAAATCCCTGGTAGCACAAATAGTGACTGCAGTGGTGTTTGGCACCTACAGCCACGGATAGCAGCAGCAGGCTGTGTAATCTGGGCCATTGCAGTATCTCCCTGCTCCATCAGTGTGGGCTAATTGCACCATCAAAGATATATAGTATAGCCAGGACTCCCTTCTCATTTGTTAACACTGCATTCCCTGTGCTGGTTGCAGGGCTGGAAACATCTCTTCCCTTGATCACCAACAGTATTTATTTACTTTCTTTGGTGGAACACAACCATTATTCTTTGCTCTCAGCATGTGCTGACACATATAAAAGACATACTAATAAGAAGAGAGGACAACTATCACGTTCTTGGACTAGTAATTAGCATATACAGTAACTTGGAAGTCAAATTAGTATTTAAAATCTTTACACACTCATAGATCCCATTAGTGGGTATCCCCCTACCTGCCCCAGAGGAATGTATGTCCCTGAACAGCAGTATCTTTATTGCAAACTCCAGTGTTACTTCTGGAGCTTGAAAGATTCCCTTCATAAATGTATGCATGCTTCTACCTAGGGGTAGTGATTTGATCTAGTGAGAAGGCCACAATTTAGCTGTACCCTTTTTATTAAATTTTGGGGGAGCCATGGTCAACCCTTCCTTTCCCACCTTGTTGAAGCTCCTCATAGCTGCTTATTTCAAGACAGTGCTAGAAGACTTGTACATTTATGTGCTTTGTAGTCAAAGACAGGCTGGTTCTCAGCATCTATTTCTGCTTGCCTGGACTATCCACACTGCAGCTGTGCTGCCTCTTCAAGGTCCCAGTCCCAAGAGGAGTTTAGTATAATTCAAAGCCAGAGCCTAAAGCCTCTGAGAGAGTTCTGGCTTCACCGAGTTGTGTATTTTTGCCTGTTGACACGATTATTCATGACATCACTTCACAGATAGTATTTGACAGAGAAAGTTGGCAAACTGAGCAAGCTGCATTGGAAAGACAGGGATTCTTTATCATTCAGTTACTGCCCTCAGCCCTTTGTATTCTCTAAATGTTAATAATGGCTACTGTGATTATCCTCAAGAACAGTGATTTTGTCTTTCATCCTGAGTTTTTCATACTTTTTTGCCTCAGTGTAAGGGTTGTCTTACAAGAAAGTTTTCGGGTTGCCAGGCAAGATTAATCTGACCCAATACAGACATCTGTAACAAAGATGCAGCTGAGCTAATTGTCTAAACTCTCTTTAACCTAGAGAAGCGGGCACTTCGAAGAGACAGCTGAGCTCATCCCAGAGTCAACAACTGAGACAGCTCAGATGAGTTGTGCCCTAGGAGTGCTTATTTTTGCCTGTAATGAGGTAAACTGTAATGAGGTCTGACTGGCACAGACCTAGACATCCACATAGATGCTGGAAGTTAAGAAGCCCAGCCTAGGTGTCTGCCATACCCCTGGGGCTTGTGCAGTAGCATAGCACGGCATGGTGATGGTTATTAGTCTGTGTCCATCCCCTCGTTCCGCCAGAAAAAGAAAAGAAGTAGCCTCTGGTCAGAAGATATGGGACACCAAGGTCCTTATGTGCTCCAAGGGAAAGAGGATACTCCAAATACTCTGCAGAAGTAAACAACATGGTAACCATCTCATTCCAGTGGGTACCTCAGTGAAATGCGGGTGAGTTTTGAGCGTCTCAAGGCACACACAAGTGATTTGTACAGCTCTGATGATTGATTTGAGGTGAGGACTCTGTGGTTTCATGCAGAGCCCTTTTGCTATTTCAGCATTGCTGGTTACAGACAGCGTAGGGCAGCAAAAGGGCTCTCTCTTAGATTTCTGCCCTCCCTGCCTGTGGGAACTGAGCAGATGTCAGAGCCTGTCTGTGTCTGTGCAGAGGGGGCAACAGAGAGAGGAAAGCATCAGTGTAGCCTCTTGCACCCACAGCCCTGACCTCTGCCATGCCCATGCGTTAGTTCCTCCTGCCCAGGCCGTGGGAAGCCGGGAGATAAAACCCTTCTTCTGCAGTCAACTTGTGGGGAGGATACCTTAAGACTGACTCCAACCTCATAGAAATTCTAATAAATTAAAAAGAGGATAGAAGCTGCACTAACAAATGTGTTGATTTGGGCCCTTGGAGGTTTGTATTGATAGCAGTGGCCACACTAACGTGGGAGAAAAAAGGTCCAGCCAGCTGTCTTTTCTCTCTTGCTTCTCATCTACTTGAATTGGAAAATCTGAACATATTGCCCTAATGTACAACTTTTCCTGGATTTTATTTCCCATCAAATTGTGTGACAAGAAGGAAATTAGCCAAATATTTTTACGCTAGAGTTCTGGACAGACAGATTGAATTCATGTAACAGCAACATGGACTCTCTAAAAAGGAATCAGTGCAAGCGTGACCTTTTTGGGAAAGTTGCCAATTTCTGAATTATTTAATGTACCAATTACTTGATTATTGAAAGTGCTAATCAGCAACATAATCCTGGATGTTAAAGTTTAGTTTCTCCATCAGGATGTGGACTGTCAAGCTGTTCTAACTTGAAGCAATTTGAAAAACTATCAAAAGATGTCTCAGTGCCAAAGTCCTGCTATGATAAAGGAATGAAGCTAGGAAGAGTATTCTGTTGAGTGTTATATTTTCAAGTTTGAGCAATGTGAGTTTCTAAAATTAGCAGTGTTAGTGTTGCCTGCCTACATGCTTTATGCCCTGGCAGGATCAGTTTTAACCCGCCAGCTTTGATGTCAACGTTTCCTAAAGCAAAGAAATGAAAACACTGAGGTCTGCTTGGGTTTAACATGATAGTTATGTTAAACTAAATGAGAAAATGAAGTGGCACATGCTAAACCCACAACTAGCTTCTGTGTGTGCATATGTGTGTGTGTTGGGTAATCCTGTGTTGGGGGCAGAGGGGTCAGGAAAGGAAGCAGTTTTTCTGCTTGTGATAGCAGAATTTCTTCCAGAAGTAATGGAAATAATAGGTATGTGGCCACCTACGGAGCCACCTGTATGTCCCAGGGTCAGCATCTGCTGTGTGAAAGGTCCAAACCTTCAGCTGTCTAGTCCATGCATTGTACTTGTAAAAATATACAGCATGCAGAACACTCCATTCAGAGCAGAAGTAATATATATCCCACTTTGAGCTCCTCTGCCCATAATGGTCCAGCACAAGATTTCCTGCTGTGGTCTGGATGTTCCTGAGGCAAGGGGCATAGCTATTAACCTCCTTTTTTTTTAACCTTAGAGATTTTATCTCTCCTCTGTCACTGGGGTATCTATCTACCAACATCTTTCTTACCTCTGCCCAACATGCTATGATCAGGACAAAATCTGACCTTAAAGATACACTTGAAAACAGTTTTTCTATATTTGAATGCATTTCTATGCTAGTCATCTTTGTTGACATGGTACTAGGGGCCAGAGCCTTAGCTAA